TAAATTATCTCCATTGTAATAAGATTCATAAACAATTATTGATTGTGAATGTGTTAATATTGCTTCTTTTAATTCATCTGGTAAATTTTTTCCAGATATTGCAATATCTAAATATTTAATTTGCTTTTGTGCTTTAATTAGCTGTGCCAATTTATACATATTTTTATAATTAACATCACAATGTATTCTTAATGATTGAATATTTTTACAAATATTTGCTAATTTATCAAAAAGTTCACCATTATAATTATAACAACTTATTTCATAAAGGTTCTGAAAACAATAATCAAATCTATGATGATTAAGTAACCCATTACAATCTGTGTGGATACTTCTAAACATTCTAATACCTGCTGAATGATCTAAAATAAAGTTTCTTAATTTATTTTGTAAAACTCGTGCAAGATCTAATGCTTTAGATTTTCTTAGGTACCAATAATAAAGATTATCTGGAAACATAGTAGCAAACCCAGCATAATTGTATAATGGTGGTTTCTCCAATAGTTTAAAATCTGATTCGATTTTAGTCAAGGAATCCTTATCTTTTTCCAATAAACAATTAATTAATATTTTAACACTGTTAGGAGAATAAAATGGGTTTCTCCATAAAGTTGAAATACTGATACTGTGCCATTGTTTGTTGACAAGAATACAAGAATATAATGTTTTATAATCATCTTCAATGTATTTGAATATTTCAGTTAGAAGTTCAGGTGGCAAACTCATATTAATAATAATTTTTTGTTTCCACAATGTAAAGAAAAAAAATTTTTAGTGGATAGTTTTTTGGATGCCGATCACAATGATTATTAATTGTGTTGTATCCAAGCACAAAATTTTCTTGTGAAAATTTCTTCTGAAAATGTAAAATGATCGTCAGAAATACACATACAAACTCGATAAGTCGGCCCGCAGTAATCAATTGTACTCGATAATATAAATTATGCGGCCGACTTATCGAGTTTGTATGTGTAAATAATAAAATTAAAACTTCTGACAGAAAAAACTGGAAGTTTAAAATTTTGGGGGGAGGGGCGTTTGGATATAAAACTCTGATTGGCTAATTTGAATTTTGCAAATTATTAAGCGTAAGGATATTATGTTAAACCTACTCATACACATTTGATTGCTGGTGGGAAAATCAAAAGATCGACACAAATGGGAATATAAAAAGGAAGATAATTATATATTACCAAATCCATTAAAGGTTAACATTAATATATTATGTAATAAAAAAATAATGATTTATTAATTTTTTCAATGTTGTATACATATGTATATTTATTTATATATTTATATATGTTAGATTTTGATGTTATAACAGGAAAATGTGCTGGTAAACTTGAAGGCCATAATTGAAGTATTATCAATAAAAGTGTTCATTTAAAGGAGAAATTGTCACATAGGTTCAAGCCAAGATGGAAATTTTATTAAATGGAAGATGGAAGATAATTGGATGTAAGTAGCCATCAATTGATCAATTATTAAATTAAATTAAATTAAATTGATTAAGAATTTTTTTAGTGCATTACTATGGTAAACTTTTGAAGAAAATTTCAATAACTCTCAAGTAAGTTTTATCTTAAAAATATTTTTGGTTTCTTTTTTTCACTCCTCACAAGTTAATTATTATTGTTTTATTAAAGTATTGGTTGATGTTTTATAATCAATTGAATTCAATAAAACCTAGGAGTTCAATTTTTCTATCATTGGTTTCTTCTTCAACAAATCAAGATCAAGTTAATAACAAATTATCATCTTCATATATAATCAACAAAGAATCAAACTGCAATCAACATCTGGCCCATTAACACAAAGAATAAACCAAACATTATCACAACATTATCATCTTCCACAATCTTTAATTATAATCACAGATACAGATGATGATTTGGAATTTTTACTGCTATATCATCATCACCAGTCAGAGTTCAATTCTCAAAAGCAACTGTACAAATTATGATTGGTACTATATAAATATGATGAATCCTGTTTCTTCAACTATATAAAATTATTTTTTATTTATTTATAGATTATGGTGACATGATGATTGTTATTGCTCTCATTACATTCGGACAGTCAATCAATCAGTCAATCAATCAATTATACAATAATAATAATGATAAAATATAAAAATGATAGAAAGGAATAATAAAATAATAAAAAATATAATAAGCAAATAACAAAGTTTTAATATATTTTTTTTGATTGTATTTTTAATATTGTGATAGATCATAAATATCTGTTGTAACAATATTTTTTGATAATCTAATAAATAGTAATAACACTCTTATCTATCTATCTATATTTAATTAATCAACTTTAACAGTATTCCAAATATTATAAAAATAAAAAGTTTGGAAAAATCTATCCATCTCTAACTAACAACACATTAAGCTAAGATTAAAAAGAGAGAAAAATGATTTTAGCTTTAAAACTTAAAAAGATTAAAATCATCAATCTTACAATAACTAACCTTTATTGCATCAGAATGACAAGTTACATGACAAATATCACCATTTATTTCCATAGCATTTCTATACATCCATTCTTCTTCATTATCATTCCAAAACATTTGAAATTTTTCTTTACAAATGGGACAAGGTTTATTAGTTTTTTGAATATCAAGTGGAACAATAACAGTTGATTCACTGATAAGATTGTCAATATCATTTTTATTATTATGATCTATTTTTGCCTTTTTTGATCTAGAAGTTCCACTACCATCACCAATTCCATTTGTTCTTTTATTTAATTTAAAATTACTAGTATCATATTCAAAGAATGTTGGTGTATTTCCATTTTGAAAATCTGAATCTCTTGAATTAATAAAATCCTAAATGTTTTGTTATTATTTTAGTTAATAAAATAAATTTTTTTTTTCAAATTAGAAATCAAAAAATAAAAACACAAACCTCCTCAGTGACAAACCAGTTTCTACTTTGTGCCCTCTTGGCTTTTTCCTTTATCTTACGATTTTGTCTAAAATGCCAATCCAAATGCTTACCAATCTTTCCTCCTCCATCTTTTGAATCTTTAGCAAATCTAATCCCACATTGTTTACATTGAGATGGGAATGCATCATAAAGAATTGAAATTACTCCTTCACGTTTACTATTATTATAATTATTAGTAATGATTATATAATTATTATTATTACAGGTATAATGTGTTATATAATTACAAATATAGTTACCACTGAATATCGTGATTTGTAAATTGAATTCTTTCCAATTCATTTGCATGTAATATCCTATTATTTGTAGATGGCGGAGAATTATGACATTGTTGTTGTTGCTTCTGCAGTTGCTGTTGTTTTTGTTGTTGT